GTTCATAACCATCAATATATTTAATACATTGAAAGGTACCAATCAAACTAGAAATAATTTATTCAGAAATTAAAGAACAAAAAAAAATTAACATTGCGTCAAATAATATTAATATACAATTTGTATGTATTACCAAAGAAAGAAGTGAAGAATGGAATATTAATGAGAAATCAACTATTAGAATGTTACTTGATCATGTATGTACTATTAAAGAATTATCACAAACTGAATGACTAGTTATTATTGAATATTTACATTAATGAGAGATTTGCATATTCAGGAAGAAAGTAACAAATAATATTTGGAAGTATTAGCACTCCAGTAACATTTAGTTCACATACTGAAATATTTATAAACACAATACATTGAACAATGTCTAGTTAATGATAGAAAATGATATGAAGGATGAGGTGAATCAAATTCATTACTATTCGGATTTGTATGAATTGAAAAATTTAATAGAAGATATACAATGTATTGAACAACACTAACAATCAGATTATGAGATGGTATTCAATATTCTAAAAATTAATAAACATTAATAAACATTGATATTTTCAATTTCAAAATAATTAATAAAAGAAATAAAAAGAACTGAAAAAAGAATAATAAAAAAATGGATAATGATGATAGATTTAATCAAGTCAATACTCTCATTAGAAAAGAAGGAATAACAATCAAAGGATATTGTGTGAATGATAAAAGAATGATTTGTTTCAGTGATAATAATAGAATCATTTATTATAACATTGATACACAAGAAAGTATAATTCATACACCACCACCATTAATGAAATCAGCACCAATTATTAGTATTGATTGTTATGAAGATTTAATACTCACAATTTCAAGTGATTTCACTGTATTAGTCATTGAAATTGAAACATATCGAGTGTTTTATCGACAAGTGATTTCAGGAGCAACCAAAGGATACTTTTTATCAGCAAGAATCTTTACATTATATTCAAATGATAAAACACTGAGAGTAATTGAATATCCTGATACATCGATTCTTGGATTTGGACAACGAGGACATGTTGATGTATTATCAAATTCATGTTTAACACATGTCACAGCAAAAACAAAAGAAGTCGGACAATTTATGTTAGCAACAAGTAAATCAGTATTTTTATGGTTATGTGATTTAAATGATGAGAAAATGAATAGAAATGAATCAAAATATCAGAGTTGTATTCCACCATTCACATGTCCACCAACAGAATATTATCTGTATAAAAAAATCCAAAGTATTTCATCAACACCTATTCTTCAAATTGAAAAGAAGGAAACACTCCCACATCTTTGTATATTACATAATAACACAATAAGTTTGTATGAAGAAAGATTTGATGAAGGGAAATTTAGTATTGAAATAATTCAAGAAATCAAAGTTAAATCACCAATATCTATTATTTGCTGTGATACAATCATTTTAACACAATATAATAATCAAATTAAAGTTAATCAAGGGAATAGAGAGAAAGAAATAATAAATAATACACCAATAGAAGAAATTCAGAATAATGATAAAATGATAGTAATACTCACAATGAATAGATTCAAAAGTATAGACATTCCAACAGAAGAAGAAATGATAGATGAGATAGAAAATGAAGAAGAACAAATAAAGATATGCATTGAAAGAAAAGGAACAATGAAAAGAAAAGGAAAAGAAATCATAAGTAAAATGGCAAAAGAAGGAAAAGATTGTTGGGAATATGCAAAAGAATTAGAATGTGTTGATACATTAATTGAATCCACTCCTGATGAACAAAAAGAAATAATAATGAATAAAATAATTTCAGAAATAAATGAGAAAGGAAAATTGAAATAAATAAGAAAAATGCATGGGAAATATTTGTGATGGGATTGAAAAATAAAGATAGTACAATAAGTGAAAGAATAATAGGATGTTATTCAAATATATTAGATATTGCATCTGTGATCAGTATATGTATTGAATATTCAAGATATTCTACTATTTTCACAATGTATAGGTCATTAGGGAAAAAGACAATTGAAGCATTTCGCATTGTTTCACATAACATTCTCAAACATGGAATCACACCAACAAGTTTAATTGAAGAAAGCATGAAGAACAATATTGAAATGCTTATCACAAATGCAGAAAGATGTAATGC